GGGGGGGGGGGGGGGGGGCGGGGGGGGTGTTAGAGTGGAGTGGCGGCTTTTTTGCGGAGAACCGGAGGCCGCGAGCAGTTTTTGTGGGGCACACGATGACAAACTTGCTGTTAGAATGATTTATCGGAGTGGATTTCCGGTGATACTCATTAGCCTTCTCCAACGGCTTATTTTTCTTCGTGTTGGCAATGTTCATGATTTGTTGTTGGATTATAATAGTGCCTATTATACATTGCCGCTGACCCCTTTACCAATACTTCGTGAATCATTACTTTACCGGGCAATCCTCCTTCGATTTCGAACGCTACTTGACTTTAACTAAGTAACTTATTATTCATTTGTAATTGGGCCAAATGACGAACTCCCACAAAAATCTAGACTTTTGTTTTTTTGTTTTTATTTTTTGTTTTGTTTTGTTTTTTTTTTTTTTATTTTTGCCTTGATTTATAATTATCTTGATTGCACGATATTTTCCAACGGTAGAAAGGCATTTAGTGAGGCAAATAATCTAACGATATTAAATGAATTTATATTTTTCAATGTTCAACGAATGTAAATAAATAAATTCATATAAGCTTGTATAATAAACTAATGTAATAAATTGTCATTGCAATTCTATTGTCGTTTTTACTTGCAAAATATATCAAGTTAATAAACTTAAATTCAAGCTTCAATAAATTATAACTTTCATTTGTAATGAAAAGGTTGTAGGATCAAGCGGTGAAACATACTTCAATATATTAATAAATATATTATAACATATATACTAAAACAAAATTGATAAAAGCAATTATTAAATTATTATCATTATTATTATTGTTATTGTTGTTGTTATTATTATTATTTTATTATTTTAAACGATGCATTAATAATTGTTACATTGAAAAAATAAATTAATCATAATCGTGATTTATGCTTTCAAGGAAATTAATATATTACAAAAGATTGCAATTTTCAATTTAATAATAAAAAACATACCGAACATACATTAGGAATATTATTTTAGGAATATGATTTTTCACATGCTATTTATGCATCATGATTAATTAGCAATTCATTTTTAATTTCAAAGTAGCATATAATTTAATCATAATTAGTGATTAAAAGTAATTTAAAACTTTGCTCAATTTTCTTATTCAATAATAATAATAATCATTATAATTATTTTTATGGACAATTTTACTTTATGAAGAAACTTTGTTAATACATCCATTAATTATAATACAAAACTAACTATTCCAACTATGATACGATGAATATATGAAAATTTATTACTTTTAAAAAATAAATTTTGATTAATTTTCTGCAATATTATTTTCACTGAAATTTTTTAATTTTATTTAATCCCCACATTTAAATTTCGTTTCATTTACAGTAATATCCTTCGATATTTCAAAAAAAATTTATGGTGAAGGGGTGGGGCGTAATTTTACGCAATTTATGTGAAAGCAAATCAGAACAAGTTTATTATGGGAAGAAAAAAAAATTTGTACAATTTCGAGTAAAATGTATTGTGTAATAAATCATATTTAACTGTAATGTACAAAGCTTAGAAAAATATCATATTTTTGGTTAAGAAAGGAATGCAAAGTCAGAAAATTTGTATTATATTAGTCTATAGATAATTGCTGAGTGCAGAGTGTAACTTCTATATAATATTTCAAATATTTTTTTACAATTTTCCATCCCAATAAGCGAAATAGTAAAAGAATGGAATGAGCTAAAAAGCGCTCGAGTCGAAGCACCCTGGAAGTATTTTTTGAAAAATAAAGATAACGAAAACAGAGGCGCGAGATGACAGGTTTCGATTGAAAATCAATTGATTATTCATGCGAGAAGAGATAGATTTTGAGTAAACGATTAACAGAACTTTCACGTTGTTTTACAGGAGGAATATGTATCGGAAAACATTAGCTGGACGCCAATCGATTACTTTAATAACTCTGTAGTGGTATCACTGCTGGAAGAAAAGAGGCCGCCAGGACTCTTTCTTATCCTTGATGATGTCTGCGCGACTTTGCATGGAGGCAGTACCGGGGCGGACTCTGATTTACAGAAGGTGAGTCGAGCGATTTTCCCGTCTCACTTTTCATATAAGAAACGAGCTCTTCCAGCAATCAGCAACATAATAATCGATCAACGTATCGTGGAAAATCAAGTCGACATTTTATTTTGCATTTTTCGACATATTCGTTAGGTTTAAATAAAAAAAAAAATGTCGTACCGGTTTTGCACTTATCCCCCCTCCTCCTTCCCCCCCCCATACATCTACGCCCAATAATGATAGTAGCCTAATAGAAATTTATATAATATTACTAATTGATTGTCTCGATAGATAAATCGATTCTTAGATTAGCGATATGCATATTAATTGTGAATTCCAGATTGTCGATAAAAATAAGATCTACGCGTAGTAATTTAACGGTTAATTTTCTTTATACGCGTGTTGACATTAATAAGATGGGCGTAAAAAAATTAAACAAAATTAATTTATAATATTATTGATCGATGCTTCTTTTCTTGGTGTAAAATTGAAAAGACATATTTTATGACAAAAATAAAATGAAAAAAAAAAGAAGAAAATAATGAACAACGCTCCTATTAATAATAATATTATTTAAATTTTTAATTATATATGTTTGAATTGGCAGTCATTTTGCACACGCAATTTTATTAAAAGATTTATCATATTGTCTTATCATGATGATAATGACTCAATTAACTAGACACTTAATCTACACTCTGCAATTTTTCTTCTCCAAGAGTGTTGCCATTAGTAACGTTAATTGTCACCTGAAGCATCGATTTTTATTTACACGCTTAACGATAAAATTACACACATATCCATGGGGAGGGGTGGGGGTGGAAGAAAAATTAAAACGACTAGCTCAAAGCTGATATTCGAGATAATGGATTTAATAAAATGCAAAAAATAATGAAATTTCGTTCATTATCATAATGTTTCACAGAAATTTGCCGGCGCAGCTAGTAGTCACGCTCACTTCCAAAACACGAGCGACGGTTTCGCCATTCTTCATTACGCTGGAAGCGTTTCCTATTCCGTGGATGGCTTTTGCGACAAGAATCGCGATGTTTTATTTCTGGACCTCGTAGAGCTTATGCAAACGAGCACAAAGTGAGTACGATTTATTATGTGAATTTGAAGTAGTACATAGCGGAGCCTTGCGTAATCCACTGGCACAGCCCGTTAATCGTTTGGGATCTCATGTTTTTTTCATTCTTATTGGATAACCAACTCCTTTCTTTGCATCGATTACGCATTATACAAGCGACGTAATACTGCATAAAGTCCACGATTTTCCTCTTCACATACGATATGTAATAATACCCAAGGGTTTCGCAGTTTGACGTATATTATGAGAAAGTAAGGCAAATCTGTGCTTTGTAATTCATCCATTATGGTCGAATAGTCGATAGATGTAGTTGTAATCTTAAGTCTATTGTTGCGAATTGGGAAAATTTTAAATAAAAAGATATAACATTTTTATTATCAGGAACTCGGAAATAATATATTATGTGAAAAATGTAGATATAAGAGTCTACAATGGAATGTGATTTCTCGTAAAATACGAAATATACAATTGTTCACTTATTTCACTATGTGGTAGTCTTAGATTTAAAGCTGCGGAGTTGCGAGATTTCATTTCTAATTAATAACTCGACGTTTTTCAATTACTTATTTTTTTCTTTCGCTATTTATTAGTTGGATATATATATATATATATATATATATATATATATATATATATATATATATGTGTGTGTGTGTGTGTGTGTGTGTGTGTGTGTGTAATCGAATGAACAAAGTAAAATTAATATTTGGTTAATGTTTGAAATTTAGAAAAGCAAAATCAAGAACTTTATATAATTCAATGCTTCGTCGTCGTTTTCGATATTTTTAAATGTCCGCGAGCAATAAGGAGTCGAGAATTCAATAAAGAAACCCCGCCACTTTTTCCCCCAACTTCTTACAATTCTGTAAAAATGAAAATACATCTTTCCAATATAAAAGCAATACGTTCGCCCGACACTCGTAAATACCCCGTGTGATCGATAAATTTACAAGCAACGTCATTGACTTTCCCATAAAAGTAAATATCGAGATTTAATACGACCTGAGGTTCAACAGCTAATAATATCCCTACGATGCAGACATTTCCTCCTCCTCCTCCTCCTCCTCCTCCTCCTCCTCCTCCGCCTCAACATCGCGGTAACCCGCCCCATTCACTCCGAATATGTCACGTCGCTCGTTACGCAAACTCGACGTCACGGAGGCGGCAAGTCGCCTAAAATCGCCTTGGCCGCGCTCCCCGGTCGCACCCACCTCGGGCCGAATGCAAGAGGGTATCATTAAGCGCGCTCGCACGATAAATCAGAGAGCCGAGAGCCGCCAGGGAGCGGTGCCCCGAAAGCGGCTTCGAAAACACCAGCCATAAATCCCCTCTTGGTTTCAGTTCGTTGGTGCGGGAGATTTATCCGCAGGAGCGCGAGGCTGCCCGCACGAAGACGCTCAAGTCGAGGCCAACGACGGCCGGGAGCAAGATACGCAACCAGGCGAGCCGACTCGTTAGCCAGCTGACGAGGTGCACCCCGCATTACATCAGATGCATTAAGCCGAACGAGACGAAGAAGCCGCGCGACTGGGACCAGCTCAGGGTCAAGCACCAGGTGCCACTTCTCGCTAATTAGCATTTAGTGCGTCGGGGATGGCACGATCGACGAGCGGCCAATACGTTCCTCCTTACCCATTGCGACCACTACGACGCCAATTCAATATCGCCTTTGGCTGACATTATTGTCCCTTAGCCTTGTTTATGCAATCGCGTGCTTCAATTAGCTTCATAACGTTATTTACCAGCTTTTTCTACCAGCTTACCACGTCTATTGCCTATTCGCGTTGCTCATAGTCGCCGGGGATCTCGTGACTCGGTGACTTTTAGCGCAAATAATGACAAGCAGCGCGCGATTATTTTCATTATCATTTTCAGAATTCAACGTTTCTCTTCGAATTATCCAAATTAAAAGCTGCTGATCGGGCATAGGATTAATCATCTAATTATGAGTTTATCGTGTACTCGACATTAATCAGTCGATATTTCGACTTAAAACCTTTCATTCGCAACTTAAAACTCAAGCAAACTTGAAAAGGAAATTTGCAGAATCTACGCTTTTCCATAAGTGGTACTCTTGATTTCATAGTAATTTAGAATTGTAGCAAATCTGCTAGGGGGCATAGCATGTGATTTGAAATAAAGAGCGAACGATGGAAAAAGAAGAGGAGAAAAAGTATAAAAGAAGAACAATTTAATGAATGGAGGAAGAAGAATTGGAGAAGTAATAAAAGAAAATAAAATAAGAAAAAAGAAACTTTGCTTTGGTTTACAAAATATGGATAAATTCTAATAATAATTATTTCTTAATTCAAAATGATAAACATTGGATATTTGAGAATTAACGAATACCTGATTTTTTCATTTCAACTACATTATTTATACGATATGTATATATATATATATATATATATATATCAGTTAAAAAATATAATTCTTATAATGATTAAGATTAGTTTTAAAATCATACAACATGAAATTGTAAAATTTTAAAAAATTTATTTACAAACATTTTAATGCTATTTTATATTAAAGCTCTAATGAATTTCATAGTCTTAAAATAGTTTTCATTCAATTTTTTCTTCTTCTTCTTCCCCCCCCCCCCACACTTATTATACAGCTTACTATTAATTATTAAAGCAATGATATTTATATAAAAATTATCCTTTATATTTTATGTATGACAAATTGTACTTTTTTTTTTTTTTTTTCTTTTAATCGACATAGTATAATGTGAAATTAAATATTATTGCTTCATTTTCTAGACGACTGCATAACAATGAAATTGCGCAGTTTACATTAACACTTAGCTCCAATCATTATATCATTATATCCATCTTCTTTATAACAGTCTGCCATTAAAAAGTGATAATATATCACATTCAAAGCCATAAATAACAATTACCATTACATTTTTTTGGCCTGCAAAATGAAAAGCTAATAATAATTGAGAATAGTAGAGATAAACGACATTAATATTTGTTAGAAAATCAATGGGAGAGTAGTTAATTGTTCTCAGTGTATAGCTTAGTTCAACGTTAAGAACGAAAGTTTTATTGTAATTAAACTAATAGATCAAAGATATCATTAAATAAAAAAAGTGCTAAAATTAGTTAAGGAGAGTGAGAAAATTGTCCCTATTAATCTATATTGTATCGATCTTAGGCAAATAAGAGTCGATTAAAGTTTTCTAACGCTCTCAATTGAATAACGTGCTTTCCAAATGAAATTATTTGTTTATGGTTTTTTCTTTATGGTTTTCCGAAAGTGCAGATCGAGCATTGCGCATGTTCTTATTTCATATTTTCTCCGCTACTCGTCGTTACAACATCAAATTAAAAATCATTATATATATATCTCGCGTGTTTGACGTATGAAAACAAAAAAAGAAAAAAAAAAACATCTCTTAATAAACGCTGAGTCGAGCCCTGAGAGGAAGCGAGCGTAATGTGGAGAGTAAATAATGCATGACTGGCAATGTTTAGGTAGAGTACTTGGGCCTAAAGGAGAACATACGCGTAAGGCGCGCGGGTTTCGCTTATAGGCGACCCTTCCTAAAGTTTCTTCACCGCTACGCAATCCTGACGTCGGAGACTTGGCCGATACGTCGTGGTGACGAGCGCCAGGACGTCAAATGTATCCTGTCGAGTGCCTGCATCGAGCCCAACCAGTATCAACTCGGGCGCACGAAGCTCTTCATTAAGGCTCCCGAGAGCGTAAGTTTGACGGCTTTGAAAGCGAAGGAAAATGAGCAATTACACTGCTAAAACGCAAAAACACGTGCTTTAAAAGTGTAAAAACATGCGTTCGTTGAGATGGCAGTTAACTTTTCCAAGCAAATATCTAAATCTAAATTGCATGCAATAATATAAACAAGAAAGACGGATACGAGGTAGTTGAAAAGTTCCTTGCTTTTATATCGCTCATTGGCGTAGTATTGAAATAATGCACGTGAATGTTAATGGTAAATTAATGAAAATAGGGAAATTATTAAGCTCGCCAACTAACCTCCGCGCAAATGATCGCGAGGCTCAAGCACGAACTCGGCTTCGCTCAAAGAAACAGAAAAATTTCAGCTATTCATGCTCGAGGAGGCGCGCGATCGCAAGTACAACATGCATGCCCGGGTGATCCAGCGGGCATTCAAGAAGTACTTCGCGAAGAAGCGGCAGGCGGCCCAGAAGCAGGAGGCGGCTGACCTCCTCTACGGGCACAAGCAACGTCGTAGGGGGAGCCTCAACCGGAACTTTGTCGGCGATTACATCGGCATGGACGTGAAGCCCCGGCTGGCGAGTCTCGTTGGCAAACGGGAGAAGATCTTTTATGCGGAGGTCGTCAAGAAGTACGATCGGCGATTTAAGGTACGTGATCACCGTATGTGACTCTCGTCATATATTGCCAGGGAAATTGGCAATCTGAGGGTACGCGTTCGACGATTGGGCGACTCGCTGCTAATATTTTGCGTCTATCGACCGATTTCCTCTTTGCTCGACAGAGAGAGAGAGAGAGAGAGAGAGAGAGAGAGAGAGAGAGAGACGCGGAAAATTACATTCGGCACTCTTGATTGTTCTTCTGCCGAATTCAAGAAATTTTTAATAACTTACGAACCAACAAGGTATTAACAATCTTTCCGCGGCAAATTCACTCAATCAAGTATTTCGAACTTTATCATACGATTTATGCAAAGTGAGTAAAAAAAGCCAGTTGTACAGTTTTAAATTCTCTAAATATACGATATATAATATTATATCGTATTTAGACAATTAAAATACTATTTTATTTATGTTGTTTTTATTACTAAACTAATAGTTATGTTTACATTAAAAAAAGAAAAACTCTATTTAACATGTAAGAGTATATGTGCAAGCATTTTAACGTATTATTAAATGTTGTCTAATGTTAAAACATTTTTTTTTTTTTTTTTTTTTTTTTTTTTTTTTCGCCATTATCGCAGACATCGAAATTAGTAATCCATAAATATTTTAACCGTCCAATTTTTTCGTTATAAATATTTTATATTAAAAACTCGCTATAATACAATGTAATTCGCCAATATTTTTCACATTTTTAATGTTTAATGTATTTGTAAATAGAAATGATTGAATAACCGTATATTGCGTATATTGAGAGAATTATTATCTTTTGTTCTATTTCTTATTTTTCTTCACGATACAAGAATTGAAAATTCATATATTTATCGGTGTAATTAAGGTAGATGCATTAAATATCATACACATAACGCATCAACAAGTATAATTTCTCTTTAAGAACAGAACAGAAAAAGATTTTATATATTTCTCGCTGTTGTAGATATAAGCATCAATTGCCCTAGTCTCGGTCTAATTGACTGTACAATCCTAATTTAGTTATAGGACTGTCGAAGATTGACTCTAAAGATTATGTTTATTTCTTTTCAATCAATAAGGGAACTTGGACGTTATTCGTTTAGACTTCGACACTCGGAAGGGTTTAAAAATGAAAATAAAAATTAATTAAAATATACATATATTAAATAAAATTGTAAATTGTTTAAAGGGAGCCAACATTTGTCCTTAAACAAATATTATCTGTAAATTCATAATATGTAAACAATGTGTTGACATTGATCGTCAAAGTTTAATACATAAACGGCTAAATAAGTATTGTCGAATAATATTTTACTCAGTATTAATAATTTTTTATAATATTACAATTAATAATATTTTACTCAGTAGTAGCACGTTCTATTGCATTGACACGTCGAATTCATTACTAATACTACGCTCGTTCCATTTGATAAATGAGCTTTAGTTGATGTGTGTAGAGAGAGAACCATTGATGCAAATACTTGTGTTAAAAAAAAAATAGAGAAAAAAGTATAATTCATTAGACGATGTATAAAAAAAGAAAATAAAATTCAAAGTCGTTATCACTCAACAAATTGCACTAATATTCATATATATACATAATGAATTAAATAAAAAGGTCTTGCAGATAAATAGTCCTAATGATATTTCATCTTGATTAGGCGTAACGCGAGTTAATTATATTATTTTCAAGGATTCGACGCATACCTTGGCGTAAAAAATTAATTTAAAAATCATTAATATAACGAACTGTTTTATTATACATCTCATGAATAAACAAAAATAAATAAAAGCTTTGAAGGTAAAAGAAAAAGAGGGAGAAAAAAAAAGGATAATGAAACTGAGTAACTGGAATTGTGGAATTTGTCCGATTTATGATAATTAGAAAAGCTTATGCTAATGCTAATATTCGCCTTGTTGTTCGTTCCAATTATACGAGTAATACATCTCTTCTACTCCATATAAATCGGCGCAAAATGGCATTTCATCTTGCAACTGTAACGTGCGAATAGGTCGTCCCTTCTTTTATTAAATCGCAGAATAGTTTAATATAAGCGTTGCGCTGGGATTGCGCGTGTAGGAAAGTGGGACGGGACGGGACGGGACGGGACGGGACGTGACGGGACGGGGACGGGGCGAGGCGCGTGTTTTGTCAAGAAATTATCGGCGTGACGAGGCGCCCACGGAGTCGTCAGGACGTAATGTCGCTGGGAAGCTGAGCACGGGGACACAGTTCACGCATCGCCGGACTCTTGGAGCGCCAGAGGCAAATGACGCACCGAGGCCGAGGAAAGACTCGGGCAAAAAGCGGCGCAGCCAATGTCATTTCTCAAAAGATGAGTGCGAAGCTCGCGAATCTCACGAACGGGAGCGCCGTCATCGACTCGACATACTCTTCGGAGAATTGCAATTATTACGACTCGACGGACCTTTACACGCGAGCAGTAAAACTCAACGCCTCGGTGATTGCGGAGAAATGCAAAATGCCTTCGTTTATTTCCTAGCAAAGTGCTTGATTCGACTTTGAATGTCGGCTCGTTTTTTTGTTTATTCTTCAATTATTATTGGTATTTGAAGATTCAAGAACGGTTATATAATGACGTGTAAATTTTTTGAAAAAAAAAAAAAAAAAAAAAAAAAAAAAAAAAAAAAAAGAAACGTCGCATCATTGATTAGTTAAGGATTATTAGCTCAAACGGATATTTATACAAACATCGCGTGGCTTTTATGGGATTTTATGGGATTGTATCGCTTCAAGTAACAGGCTTTGGGTACTTCGTTTGGCAAATAAAATGTATTTTATTCTGAGATTTATAGCCCAACGAACAAATTCGATATAGTATTATAAGCTTACTTCCCGCGACTGTTATATCGTTACATTCTCCAATCAATTTTATGATGAATAATTTTTGCGATAATTCGCCCGTTCAACCTACCTTACCCATTCATTTACTTTTGATAGAAGAAATCATTGTTTTATTTACGATAGATATCAATTTATCGTACAATGTCAGAGCCGGCGATTTATTTCCGGACTTGCCGTACATTTTTGTTATATTATTTTAAAATATACGTTGCTGGATCGAGTTTAATAATGCTCACAATGAGAATTTGCGAAGGTGTAAAATAGCCACACATTTGTCACGTGTCAACGCATACTAACTAACACTCGACATTAACATGTAACGGTGCTGCTCTTTGAATTACCTGATACCTACCATTGGGGACGTATAGTCGGCCTCACTTTTGACGACAGACGTGAAAACTACTTAAGCGTCAAAAAAAAAAAAAAAAAAAAAAAAAAAAAAAAATTAGATAGTCTTCGTATGTCATTTGTAACGCGGAGAAAAAAGAAAAAGTAAATTTTTTCCCATAGTACATAGAGTATTTGCATACGCGTGCAAATCGACTTTTCAATCTTTAAATCATTTTTGCATATAATGTCACGCACTTTTTGTCATCTGTCACGTGCCAAAAAAAAAAAAAAAGAAAATTGTACTCTTAATCGTTGCATCCGAGTTGCGCATTTCAAAAATCAAAAATAATTTCACTTCGTTACCTCTATCTCCATCTACTCTCCATCCTTATAAATCCTAAAAGCGTGACTATTCGACAAATTTCGACAGATAATTATTGGATAGATTTTTCGATGAACTTTACTTGACAATGATAATCTAGCTCCTTGCAAATGAATCAGTTAATTATCCGTTAATAGATAATTTCCAATATCTCTTGATAAATGTAGCCCTTTGATTATTTAAGAGACTCGAGAAAGCTATTGGACAAAGAACAAAGTAAAGGAAGAAAACAAAAGAAGAAATGCTCGGAGAGATATTGCATTGCATTGTGTCAAACAATTGATAAATATTTCTTGACTATCAAATCGTAGGTGAAATTAAACTCTTCTTTTACATATTTGTCGTTCGTCTATAAGCCATTTATTAGTGCAAAATACACGAAATGCTGTAGAACTGTAAACACATTTGTTTATCGACAATAGTCTCGATTATCTATTTTAAAAATTCGCATACCAATACAGTGTTCGGGCGCATTGATTAAACACTATCGATGTAGGACACTGCATTCTCGTTTCATGCACACTCGATAGAATATATTTGTACTTGTAACAGTACAAGTTGGTGTAATATATATGGAGACAATTACCAGCATTCAGATTTATCGTCAATTTTAATTTATAATCTTGATTGGCAAGAAATTAAAAATCATCTCACCTGAGATCGATATAATTTTTTATTACATGTTGGCTAATTCGGCATATTTAATATGTTGTAATTTTGTCAAAAGAGACCATAACGTCTCGTTAAATATTAATAAATCCACGTCTCGTAGCGATAGTGAGCGACGGGGATGCTATTTGTATTTTTATTTATATCAATATTTGCATAATTCTGACATTCGATGATATCGAGCAAAAACGTACGTGCAATTTCATCGATAAGATACACTAATATAATTTCTTCTTCTTTGTTTTTTTTTTTTTTTTTTTTTTTTTTTTTTTTTTTTTTTTTTTTTTTTTTTTTATTTTATATATAAAGACAATAGATATAAATAAATGCGCGCGGCTCGATATACTTGAAAATGTTAATTATATTCTCTATTATATCGGAAATAAGACGATGAGTGCACGATTCCTTCCTCTATGACTTATTACGAACCTCGCCAACATTTACTTATACAATTAGACAACAATTATCCCCATAACGTAGATAAAAATATGTTATCTATAAGACTGATTATTTATAGGTTTGTTATTCTTATTTGTTATGCTTGATTGTGAAAATATTTACGTATGCCTTGATTATTAAATGTGCATGGAAAATTATTCTTAGTCGTAATGTTGCATTAACGCATAATAATGATCGAAGAGATAATAAAATACTTTTATTCGTTATGACATGTTAATGAAACTATTGACTAATTCTCCAACTTTATAAATTTAAATTACTTTCAATCGACAGTTTGAGTTTATAATTGCTGCTTACGCTTGATTGTCGTATTACCTAAATATATATTATAACGTATGTCTTACATTTTGTAAAATAAGTTAACTCAAAGGTTTACTATCCTATAAGGATACATATGGATTTTCCAACGAATGGATTAAAATCTATATTGAAGCTATTTCTGAAGTGGGCGGTAAAGCATTTTGAATTATCATGGCCCATAATAGATCTATAAATACATGATCCTTCGAGATATCATTAACTTCTTGATTAGCGGTAGACCTGCAGCTTTATCTATGAAACTCAATTAAGGATACGCGAATAGGTGATAAAAGATAAATGAGTTTGTAAAAATTATACAAAATTCGATACAAAATTCATTAAATAAACAAAGCAACGAAGAACGACAAAATTCTTAAACTTTCAAAAGTAATAATATTCTATATAATATATTTTAATATTAATATAATATTCAACGAAATAATTAGGAATTTTCCATTAATTTTATTAGCCAATAAATTATAATTCGTTCGTCAATTTGTCGTCAACATTTTCATAAACATAAAGCCATACAGAATATTAGTATTTCCATTACTATGCTAATTGGATCTCGGCAATGAAAAGAATCGGCGAATAAATTATTACGTGATTGGTTTATCGCTAACATCACTCGATGTATCACTAGACTTATCACGTCGAAAAAGCGATTTGTCATAATATAATAAACTAATTGTAATGACATTCGGAAATTTACATGACTTTATTTGTCGAAAAATTGCATTTCCTACAGTCAATTGTACGCCAGACCAAAAAATATGCGAAACTCTGTTGGCTTATTCTATCATCCGATTTGATATAATAAAAGTTTATTTTACTTACGTTCACACGATTTAAAATTTACATAGTAATTTTATCTTTTGTTATAAAAATAATAGATTTACATGTATATATAAGATGCTTTGTTTTTATCATAGTTAAGTTAAATAAAAGTTTTAAAGACAAATCATTCATTATCGCTGCTTCATATAATTAAAATTTGCAATTATTATTATTAATTATTTATTTATCTATTTTTGTTATTTTGTTTTTTTTTTGTTTTTTTTTTTATTTTTTATAAAATTCTGAAAATTATAGCAAATATTATTATAGAATAAATTAAATTATACCACAAACTTTTTTACATCGAGTAAAAAAGTCTATGAGAAAGTCGCAATTTATCAGTCCGCAAGACGTTTATCCAAAATCTTGAATCTCTGTCTATTTCAACTTTTTGCCATTTTCTAAAGTTTCACTTTTTACGAAGGCGATAGAGGCGCGACATATTTTTGTCCCGTATTATTTCGCCAACGCTGGAATAATAATGCGAACGTCCAAGTTGCTTGTATTCTGAAAACGACGATTACATATATATATATATATATATATATATGTCCTTTCCGTGGTTTTTGTAGGTACCAAGGATCGCAGGATATTCTTGGGCACCGCAGCCTCGACTTGATATATATTATAATCCGCGTGTTTGTACGTGAAATTTGCAATACGCTTTTATAAGCGACGAGGATATATCAACGTGCTTGTTATATGTGACACGTGACGTTTCAAGTTTCGGCTGCGTTCAAACATAAATAAGTTATAATATATAAAGTGAGGCCGCCGAACGTAAAGGCGTAAGCGCACAAATAATCGACTTCCTTACTTGAAACTTCAGCTCAATAGAAAAACTACGCATAAGCTTTCTTAAGGAAAGGTGCTTTATCACGGGATATGATAAGACGCAATTAATTGTTATAAAAATCGTTGCTTGTGACTCTCGGGAAAAACAGTAAAGCCCGAGAATTTTTGTAGCCGAGTGACGATGAAACACGATTAATGAAAAAAAAAAACGAAAGTAATATTCGACTCTTCCATAACTGAGCTACGAGCGCTCACCGTTACACAACTTACACCGATACAATGCATCGATTCGATTGGCTCATTGAATCCGATAGATACATTGTCGAAGAAGCAAATCTGATTAGAGCTGCCAATCTCCGTGAAGGGATAGAATTCACGGGACAGTGTCTATACCTTCTTATCACTTCCCTTGGGCTGCTCGTGATCCCATTGTCTCGAGACGCATTATGACGCCGAGTTTCTCACTGCGCGCTAAGTACTCGTCTTACGAATAGCCGAGCCGAGGAAAGGGAAAAAGTACGTGAGATTTTGCTGCTTCACATTGGCTGATAATTACTTGGTGGGCAATTCGCTCCTTGATGTGACAGCCACCGATGAAGAAGTTCGGCTTTTTGCTCAGCGACGCAAGTTTCTATATTAATTCGCTGAGTCAATCTAGAATAATTTACGGCCTTTCGATAGCACAAGGAAGTAGATGGTCGTACATTGCGACCATTTGGTTGGTAGCTATGATTTATGGACGATTTAGGTGTATTATATGCGTATCTGACGAGAGAAATCAAATGATTGATAATGCATTGTATTGTGGCCGTGTAAAGTCATTATAAAATTCGATTAAATTTCATTTCATTTAATAATGCTTCGCCGATGAATGGATCGTGAGGGATTTACTTTTATCGACATTCAATGATAAAAATAAAAAAGATACATTGTTTACATTATAATGAATATATTTGCCACTTTTAAATATGACAAAGTAAATGGAAGGTATTTATTTATTTGTTTTTTGTTTTATTTTTTGTTTTTGTTTTTGTTTTTTTTTCCACTTTAAACGCGTTATCTCGTTACATTGATGTACATTGAAAACGGTAACCAGCTAAATTACGAAAAGCTTTACGAAATAATATAATAGATTATTTTAAATACTGATTTTATATTTACATCGAGTCATATACTTTTTAAAACATTGTTACTATACGCTTTATGGAAGTTACAATGATAAAACTACAATCGAGATAGTTAAATGAAACGCATAAAATAACATTTTGTATTGATTTATTATTTTTAAAATATGGTAATAAAATTTTATGAAATTACATTAACTAAAAAGCTCTTTGTCTAAATTCAATGTTTTATTATTTCCAATAACCAATAAATAATATTGGTGTACGAAAACAAAAAAACAAACAAACAAACAAACTTCATTAGATGTACATTAATTTTTAAGTTACCAATTTTGTTTTCCTTTATTTATAAATGTAAAAAGTAGATGATCGTTCAGGCATTTATATTAAAATATTAAATACTTAAACATCATTTTGTTCTTCTCATTGCAGATGTGTAGACGAGATTTAATTCTCACGAGCAAATGTCTATATTTAATTGGACGTGAATCGATGAAAAAAGGTCCGAAAAAAGGCTGCTGTATGGAAGTAATCAAAAGAAAGCTGCCCTTTGAGCAAATTAGTCACATCTCGTTGAGTACTTTGCAGGTATATGTAATAACGTTTTAATTGGTGAAAAATAAACTATTGCGCAAATTTAAAATTAACTACTTTTTTTTTTTTTTTTTTTTTTTTTTTTAAATAAATTTTCGAGTTTTTTTTTTCGAAAAAATGAGTGTATTCACTGTATGAGATTTTCAAGTACATTTCACTAATACGAATTCATCTACACAAATAGTATTATTAACTATTTATTCGCACTTAATACTTCTCATACGATAGATAATAAGATAATAAGGTTTACTTTTGACCTTGAATAAGTAACGCTAGATACCTTGCAGGATGATTTCGTTGTAATTCATACGAGGGAGGACTATGCCAGTCTACTAGAACTAGTCTTTAAAACCGAATTTTTATCGGTTTTTAATAAAAATTACATAGAAGAAATGGGCCATTCTCCAAATATTAAATTCAATAATAGGTATGCATAATTTACTAATTCATTAATCACAGAATAATAATAATAATAATAATAATAATAATAATAATAATAATAATATCAACAATGAGAACAACAACAAAAACAACAACAACAACAAACAGCATTATTGAATAGTATTAGAAAATAAGATATTCTTATGTAGCATCCAAGCATATTGCAATAATGTTGTTCTCCCCTCACATTTATTCAAACTAGTTGACATCGCAAGTGTGCAAAACTTACGTGATTACAGCATAGAGATCAAAGTAAAAAAAGAAGGCTGGGGGGGAGGCGGTACCAGACAAGTTAAATTCGTTCAAGCTGGTTACGGAGACAAAGAGGTATTGAGCTCCAGTGGAAAAATCCTGACCGTCAGCATCGGCCCCGGACTTCCTATTACCTCCAGTGAGTAATGCACCCATACAAGCATCACCTCTACCCTATGACTATTTCATGATCTTAGCTTCGGGACGCCTAGCGTCCAATAACTTTGCGGCCCATTTGAATAAGTCGCCTATTGAAAATTACTGCTCAGCGCGCTCATTGAATTATCGAATGAAAAACATCATCGCAACGATCTCATGGAATAAAATTCTGCGAATTGTCGCGTACATTCTCGCGATGGCTGCTCGCATCGTACAAGAAGCGCGACGTTTAGCATTAATCGCGTGCTCGGGGCCATGTCCCCCCCCCCCCCCCAAATCAACATCACCGATATTCCAAACGAAGCCATTTGCGCAAACACTAGAAAACACCTTGTGCCCGAACACTAGGAACATGGAAGCATGGAAATGACATTTAAAAATATTCTCAGAGCCGCGGATGACGCCAGACTCGCGCACGGGTTACGATGTCCGGCCGAGTCGTGCCCAAAGCGGCATCGAGCAGCGCTACGTCAACACAGCGGAGGTGATGTCGAGCAACGGACGCCCGACCATTCCCACGAGTCGATCCGCGTTTCAGCAGCCGGTGAACGCGATCAAGGGACCAAGGCCCGAACAAATCGCCAACATCGCCGCACAGCGGATAGCCGAGAGCTACGCCAACATTAACAAGGGACCGAGCGGTGAGTGTGTCATCCATCCTGGTGTGTCGGGACCGCGCCTATTTCTCGGCGGCCGTCCCCGCGCAGCCTCTTTACTCCTAAACGATAAAGAACGAAACAATTAATTTAGTTGCGTATTAGTTGCGCGCGAGTCATGGGCCTCGTGCACACTTGCTCTCATCTAATCACCGATGTTAAGGTGAAATGTGATGGAATCTTAGATTATAATGAAGATATTATAGTAGTTATGATAGGTAATGAAGGAAAGGATTGTCGAGCAGGTTCGATCAAGGCACCGCCGCCCCCCTCGGAACCGGCACCACCCAACCAACCGACCATACACTCGGCCTTCAGACTGCCGCCCCTCGGCGCTGCCACCCCCGTCATCCACGGCAATGGGCTGCAGAGTAATCTGGTGGCTGCCCGGCCCCAGCCAAAGCCCCGGAAGCCCCAGCTCCCGAGTCTGCCCAAGGTCAAGGCACTTTACGACTACTCTCCCCAGGACCTTGACGAGCTCGGACTCAAGGAAGGCGAGATCATCGAAGTTCTCAAAGAGCGTGAGTTACGATTTTGCGTAATGGGCATTCACCTCTGATTTCCGATCAAGCGATAATCTGAAAATCGCCCCATTTTTCTTGCTCCACTCGCGTCGCCGCCAGCTTTTGTTATACGTTCCCGTTCTTTTTTTCTTTTTTGTTTTGTTTATTGTTTATTGTTTTTGTTTTTGTTAATTTTTCAGCCGTTTTAATGTTCCGCGCGATTAGGCGAGGTAACTTTGTAATAATCGATCGGCTGTAATAATCGTTGTTCGTCGCTCGTCACCCTTTACAAAACTTATTTCATATCTTATTTGATCAAATTGAAAAATCTTGCCGCTGCTTGCTGAGAGACATCTCATTGTGCTGTTTGCTTTATAATAAAAGTATAAGTCGTTTTTGGCGCGAGCGAGAGATGCTGCCAAGTTCGATATTACCCGAAAATATAAGAAAAATCAATTTTCTCCAAAAGAACCGGGATTTCTTTTAATTGCAAATAAAATGTTTAACGACTTAAAAAGTAGTCTGTGAATTATAAAACTTCTCGGCACTTTTATTGAAAATTCAATTATAAAGGTTCGAGTAAATTTATAATTATTCAAGTTCTGCGCTACGACTTCAAAAACGAAGTAATAAAGCAAAAGTCTAAAGAAGTTTTAAGTATTCATACTTTTTTATTTTTATGCACTTCACGAGACGATGGAGTAAAAGAATGAATTTTTAAATAATTTTAAAGTGGCTTAAACCCTTAGCTATCTTATCTTTATCGATGGGTAAAGAAAATTTTTTTTAACAGCAATAATAAAACTCTATATTAATAATTGTATTTTCTACAATTGTATTGAAAAGTAAACGGCAAAGCGATTGCAATGTTAGGATACATAATAATACGGGAATTTAATTGAATTTATACGTTACATGTTTATTATAAGAAAGATTAAAGAAAATGGACGAGCGCATGACATTGTATTGAAGTTTAATAATAGAATAAAAATACAATGACAAGTCAGACAATTCCAATTGTTATTTCGGCTTGTAGCAAAGTACTTGATTAAACAGAAAAATTTCTCAACATTTAACAAACCTAAGCAAATTACCATAAATATTAATCTATATCTTTCACATTTTAAATAATCGATTCAAGGATAATAAATTTCGATAATTATCTTGTTACAGATGAAGGTGGCTGGTGGCATGGAAGACTTAAAGGCAGAACAGGATTATTTCCATCTAATTACGTAGAAAAAATTTAGAACAATGTCATATCGTAAATAGAGCATTTCCAAAGACATTTAATAATCATTAACTTATAAAATTAGGAAGAAATTATTTATTTCTACAAGCAGTGACATTACAGAAATGCATTTTCATATTTTTCTCAACTATAGGAGAAGGTTGTGAATCGAAAAAATCGTTTTTTGTAAACGAATCAACTGCCGTATTAAACAAATGATTTTGAACGAATACAAGTACATAAAATACGTATTCGTCGAATAAAAAATTCACACGATCGCATAAGCAATGAAGCATTTTTATTATGTCTCCAAAGATATTTATCCAAAAATTTTTTAAATCAGTACTACTACATTACTTATATTTAATAATTATAACCTTTCGAATCGAAGAAGTTTGTATTATTTTTACCACTTTTAATCAATATTTATGTACATATTGAAATTAATTTTAAATAAGTTATATATATATATATATATATATATATATATATATATATTTCTACCGATTTATCAAATCAAGGACATTCAGTTATTATCCTGTTTATATAGAGTGTAAAAACTCGTTATACTTCGCTAATATTCTCAGTTAGGAAACAAGAAAATTTGGTGTAAATAATTTATATGGTGCTTTTATTGAGCCTCGATTATATTAATAAACATTGCATAATGTCAATAAAATCTTTACAATTACGTTTATTTTTTCAGTTTTTAATTCTCTCGATACAGAATTAATCGCCATTGCCAACATATCCTCCTCCATAACTGCATTCGGAATAAATTATTCGACACTGGCAAGCTGTATTATTACAAAACAAAGAATGTGAAAGATAAAGAAAATTAATTTACATTATTGACAAAGTGTACATGTAACCGTTATCATAGGCACTGAATTAGTGAGCTAATGTTTAAAAATTTCTCTTCTATTATGTACATCAGCGTGCTTGAGCTTATAATTGAGCTACTATTAGTTGTCATGGAAATGCAGCGCAAATTGCCTTGACAATATAGAATTTACAGAAATTCAAATGTATTGTCTCATTGACCGACAGCTTGCTTTATACGTCAAAAACAGGCACTTTTTGTTTTTCATATAATTATTATATTTTATTAATTCATATTTTATTAATGCTATGCAGTGCAAATAACTATGCATACTAATTCAACGCAAACGGCCATTATCGTTGAATTTTACTATAAAAAATCTTAATCAAATTGATTTTTGTATTATTTAATTATGTAGATGAATTACATATTTATTAAATTCGTATTATGAACTGAGTGTATTTTAAGGTAATGAAAGTTGTCACGTCCTTTTCCTCGATAAAATTAACGATTTACCATCGTCAACTTAACGGCTAACTTAACGTAAAAAAGCACAAACAATTCTCTATAACAATTTGTCTCATTAAATACATAATTCTCATTGATTATTAAAATCATTGTACTATAATCATTGTATCTGAGTCGTATTTTACTTTTATTATTTTTTTTTTTTTATTTTATTTTTTTTTTTTAACGTAATACAATCTATATACCAACATCACGATAGAGTGATATTAGTGAGCTCACGATATCTTTCTCAGAATATAATAATTCGACTTGTTCAAGTCAACGAAGGATACTGCGCTTGAGGATTATCCTTTATATAACTTCACTCCGCCCTCTTGGCGACTAATTAAGCGATGAACACAGAAAATGGAGCATTCGAGTTTTCCTCGGTTATGCACTGTGCAAACTAATATGCACCAAGTTACATATATATATATATATATATATATATATATATATATATATTAAAGCACGGAACTATATTGCGTATGAAATAAACGTCGCGCCGTCTCTAACGATCTAAAACCTACTCAGATAACTGAAAAATAGACAACTATCTTCACTATTGGTTAACATTTTATTTCAAGTAGTTGCACCATCGTGAAATTTGCTTGTGATATATATCATTTAAAACCGCACCTTTAGATACCCGCTTATTGTTAAGTGCATATCAAATTTTAAATGAATTTGCAAGCTTTAGAACTTGCAGGAAGATTATTATTATCTTGTCATCTCACGCTAGTGTTTACAGCGATTAGCGATAAAAATTCAAATGTCGACGCTCCCTGTATCTTGCTAAAGTTACACAGCCGTAACTGTGCAACCGTGCCATGTGTTTTCTAAGTGGAGCGAAATATGTTGAACGATTTCTTCTTAAGTACCATGGATTTCTCAACGTCTCTCTCTCTCTCTCTCTCTCTCTCTCTCTCTCTCTCTCTCATTCGTTACGTTGATTGTGGTGGTTTCCATGTATGGATAGATAATAGTCCTAATGATTACAACCCTAGTGACTCGAAAACCTCAAATTTTGCACAGATGGAGACAATCGATAAATAATATCGACGTTAACGAACACACCGTTTTAAATAAAGTCAGAGACGAGATACCAAGAGTACACCGCTCAAGGACAATCGGCTTTATAGCTTCACGCAACTATCTAGAATCTGGACTTATCAACACGCGGACATTTATACGTGTCGTGAATATTACTGTTTTACAGGCATGGCCAATTGATATCGATCGAAACGTCGATCAAGAACGAAGATAACAAGACTCTGAAAGCTTCAACATCTTCATTCTTCCTACGAATCGCTGTAAACACGAGAAAATACCATATCGGCAGTTGAAGATAAGAAAGCTACCTATTTTACCTAAGCTACCTGGCCAAGAAGAATATTTGGAATGGTGACGTATGGGGCAATATATGCCCCATACGAATTATTTGTTTTTTTTTTTTTTTTATGGCACTATTACGTCGCAACTGTCCGCTGAAATATTTACCGCGTGCTTTTCTAATTAAGCTTGATGTTTGCAACGAGGAACAGTCCCATTTCATCTCACTGCCTCTCCATATCGTAAGATTTTGATGGATTCGTGTTTAACGGTTTAACGACACTCGGCTATCGTAATTGCTATTATCATTTATGCAATGACGGGGTATGCACAATTATAGGGGTTGATCCACATGCTCCCAGTGCTGTTCATAGTTGACATTATGAACGATATCGATCAACCTTGCCCCGTAAGACGGTATTCGTGGCATGCGAAAAACGCGCAAAAAGCCGTCATTTTTTTTTTTTTTTTATAGTAACAATCATGCAACTAAATGCAAGTGAATCGATGGGCGCAAAATGTGAAAAAATTTTCAGTTTTCTACAGCATTGCAACGTCATAATCGCCAATTTGGTATTTATAAGCGCGCCACATCTCGCAAAAGTAATGCCATACGACGCATTTTTACATACGATGAATACGATCCTCCAAGCACGACTCCTTGACATAGTTCCAATTATCATTAACATTATATACATACATATTGGGTATTAAACAAATACATACATAATAAAAATTATCAAGAAAATGCGTAGTTTGATATATCATTTTATCTTCATTGATATTAGAAAAGACATAATTCTTTTTTCATCTAGTATGTTAAAATTTTACAAGCAAAAATATTGATTAATAGTTACATTAGATGTAAAGCTTTTCTTAATTCATTGAACAAATATTACTTTCTCTAATCAGTTCGATTGGCACACAAATCAATATAACATTAAATACAAATTTAACGCGTCGTTACATAACGCGCAAAATAGTTATGAAAAACGTTGATTATTTGCGAGAAGAAAATTAGTAAAATTTCTGATTAATTATTAAATAATCACTTGACATTTTTCTTGGTAATTTTTTGTGTAAACATATTATTTTTAATATGTTTGATGGACGCAAATAATAAACTACAAAGTATCCAGCACTATATTATATAAAATTATAATTAACCTTTAAACAACAATCCATAAAGATAATTAAAAAAAAAAACTATAAATTCATAATTATTATTATTATTATTATTATTATTATTATCAGAATATATATAATATACACACACGCGCACACAAAAATAAAGCAAGCCTAGATTCTAATTATCGAGTATAAAATCAGTATTTAAAATATAACCTTTTTAGAATACATTGCACCCGCGCTTCGACTTCCGCTGCCAATTTCAAATTATTGCTATCGTAATCATTATCATTACCATTATCATTGTCATTGTCATTGCCGACAAAAGTATAAATAAGACTATTGAAAAGTATAATTTATAAACGATACGCAAATATGGCACAATTTTGAGTATGTGATTTAATATGCAGAAACTTTTCAAAATCTAAACACCTTATTCGCGGTTTAGTTTGGTAATCTCTAATTGACTTATGACATCATAACCATCCACTCGCGCGAATGTAGGTGTTTTAATAGTAGTGCACCGCTACCTAATGCTAACTTACTTGGCTCATGTATCGTGTACGAAGACATTGTATTTAAGCATTAAGATTTTAAAAATTAAAAAGCTTTTCGTTGATTGCCTGTTGAGTTAAGCTCTCGTGCTGTTGCGTCGAGTAGAAATCTTAGAAATGTTGTATGTTATTAGCTCATACACGAAGGGCGTTCTTCAATACCACATTACTACATCGATGGCCCAATCAGGCACAATCAATAAGAGCATAACGTCTGTTTCGTATTTGTCGCGCGTCAATGAATAATATATACCGTGTGTAATGACGCTTTGTGCACGATAGTGCGAGCTAGAAGATGAGAGCATTCGGCTTGAGAAGAATGCCTGATGGAGCTAAGACACTCTTTTCTTAGTTTACCCGTGAGAGCCGCTTTTGGCTATTTGACCTACTTCGCGTGCTAGAAGCTTTCACTTGATTAATTTGAATGGCCTCGGCACATTCCCGCACGGTGAAGATTCGTGTGTACTTACGTTGCGACCAGCGCGCCTCCCTTTATATTTGATAGGCTAATTAATTCGAATGATCGTCAATTGAGTCGGCGAAAGTATTGTCGTTTCGTCGAATACTTGCTTCAACATAATTCCGATTCTATCCGAATATTGTATGATTTTACGATCCGTCTAGCGATGTTGGCTTTCACAATGGGTATCAATAATTTTACAAACAAACGATCTGTCTATCGTTATCCATGACATTATTGCTATATAGATACGATTCGGAATAATTTTTAAAAGCTCACTTCGATCGAGTCTCTATTCGCTCGATCAAAACGCCACTCGTATATCACTTTATTGCAATTTATTGCAGAATATGCTATTTATCCCAGAGGCCGTGTCCCAAGCGATGCGTTTGTCCGATTCTCTGACGATATAACAGCCACTCTCGAGATTCCATTCGAAAAGGACGTTAGCAAAAGGTCTCATAGGCGCTAATTGTATTGTATGTCATCACTAGGTCGCTCGCATAGATGGCCAAAAGAGCTCCGCGATATATTTCCGTTTGTTAAATATTTTAATACTTCCCATAACTGACTCTATATCTAAATAATATAGAGTCAATTAGTTTAGTAATAGCAACGTTTAGCCATTTTAATTAAATAATGAATAAATTATGACGAGAAATGCTTTTCGTGTCAATTCAATTCTCAATACACATGGAATAACTGAATTTATTGTAAATTTAAATCACGATAACTTATAGTGTTGCGAGCATTGTTTTTTACTTAAATAATTGTTTTGTTTTGTTTTCTTCTTCTACTTCTTCTACTTCTACTTCTTCTTCTTCTTCTTCTTCTTCTTCTTCTTCTTCTTCTTCTACTTCTTCTTCTTCTTCGATTAAGAACCATCACAATATGTTCGATAACGTCGTGTATAAAATGTATCGATTTCGTGGCTAGAAAGAGACATACCAATACTTTCAACGACCCGTCACTGGTACGACATTGAATATCCAGCAGATGAACCCGTGACACGCACCAAGTTGGCCATATTAATCGCATCAGTCTTTATTAAGAGCCTATTACCTCCTTAAACGGCGATAATCACTTGGCATTATTATTTCATTGGATAACGAAGCCTTTATCTCGAGAGCGTGACGTTACGTCGTTTTAACGGACATTTAAGGTAAATTAGTATACTTGATTGAGACAATTACAATTACTAATTCAATATTGCCATGATAATGGAGGGCTCGTAGCTTAAAGCCATATTCCTAAAGTAATTTCAGATTTTATAAAATAGTAAAGGAAAGGGAAAAATGAGTTGATCAATGATCCACATCCACATCTAATCGCATTTAATCGATGATTAATCTCTATCGAAGGTATTTATTATGTGTAAGGGCAACATTGGTTGGTTGTCGTATGAAAATCGCGTTGATAAGTTTGAAGTTGGGAACTGAAGAAGATCAGATTAAATGTCAATAGGAAGTTCGATTACAAGTTATAAAACAATATTAATACGCTTAATCTATTTACTACAAGCACTATTCAACTGTCGTGGCTTATGGGAGAAAGCGCGAGTTGGCTACTCATAGGATCTAGATCCCAGTTTTAGCATCGAATGCTAATTTTAATAGCCAAGCGAACGATATTCACGCTATTGGCAGCACGCGCGCTATGCGTCGTGCCATCTTATCTCATTAAAATCTCTATGGGATGGTATCAGACGATACATCCCGAATGATTATTTCACGATTATTACATGAGCATAAAGCGGGTTGCTTCGATGCTCGGTAAGTGTCGCACTTGGTCATGGCGACCACAACCAGTTGGCTACTGACGGTCATATTACACGGATATCTAATAATACGAGAAGGGCCTTCGGCGTCTCTCTCCTGCCCGACCTCCAAGGCTGGCCCGACTAAAACGCGGCTTCCTCGATAAGCGGCATGGATCGAGAGCGAACGAGATTCGCCAAACGCACGCGGAATAGGGGAACACATTGTCGGTCCCGATTGCGGCGCCTCAATCTTTTATCTACTGGTGACAGTTTCGATGCAGCGAAAGCCGTAAACCTCTTGGCGGCTATTCTGTCGCATAAAATCGATCGATCGACAAGTTAATGGAATCGGTGACGATGAACGATTGAACGCTGCGGTCGAATCCCAATGATCATGCGCACCTTGCCATGACTCAATGCTACATACAATTTTTCTTTGGCAACTCAACAACAACAACTCGGGATCTGAAAATAACGGTAACAATAACAACAATGACAAACACAACGACAACGACAACAACGACAACAACAACAACAACAACAACAACAACAACAGCAACAACAACAATAGCAATGGTAGAATTAAAATTGCATTATTATTACCTTTATCCTTTAAATAACAATTAAAACAAGGCTCGGATCTCTCATTGAATAACGCAGTTTTTATTTCGTTGTGCTAATCCGGCTCTCGACAAATTTCGTTCTATTTCGTCGTCATCTTCGATTCTGCAACGTCGTTTACAAAGCAAAAAATGATTAATAACGCTGACTATGTAATTTTTCTTATCATTAATAACTAGTCCATAACACTATGTCCTTTACTGGGACATTACTTACGCTCGTTCTTGAGTATCCAAATGATGCACAAGCTCATCTCGTTTATTAACTATGGATACTAATTCTTCGAGCAAAAGATTTTCCCGGACTTTTTGTTCGTTCGTCTTTTGACACTCATCGACGGCTAATATACTCCTCAATTCACGATTCAATAGTTCAAATCTCCTTTCCAAGTCATCCTCTTTCTCACTGCAATTACGCGTAATTACTCAAATTATTATCACGAATGATTTGCTTTTTTCAATCATTGACCTCTTAAACTTTTTAGTGGATGTAAATATCACACGTTGGGTAAAATAAATAAATAAATAAATAAATAAGCAATAATTGTAACGTATGACTCACAGAATGTTCAATTGCATTTGACGTCTAAGAAGAGCGTTCTTTTTATTCACAAGAGTAAACCACAATGACATCAGTCTTTCCGTTTCCTCCTCATTGTCACTTTCCATCGCTGCCCTTAATTGTTTTTCAAGTTTACCCGCTTGTACGTCTATTTGGCTCTGCTCCCTTTCGAGGGCTTCCAATTCATTCTGAATGTATGTTGGCATGTCTTTTCCCAACTGTAATTACACGACACTTCACTCATAATGCTTTTACCAATTTCACTCGAAGTTGAAAAAGAATCATTGCACAAAGAACTTTTGATAATAAGAATAATATGATATATATATATATATATATATATATATATATATATATATATATAAGCAATTTGATACAAAAATTATATTTATAGACTGAAGAATTAAAAATATTGAATGTTAGTTGGATCAATGCATTTATTTACTTATGAAATAAATGTATGCATAACAAAGACATAAAACAAAACAAAACAAAATAATTTAATAATAATTAAATAATATTAATAACAAATTTGATATTATAAAATCACAAGAGTATAATTAAATAATCACCCCTCTCCGAGTATAAGGACCGCCATCAGGACTTTTTTCTGGTGATATTCTTTCCATAATTTTGGAAAATGAATAGAGTGGAGAACCCAGTTTCTTTTCCCCTTCTGTCAAAATATTGCCATTGTATTCAGACTGTAATTAGAAAATAGATTATATGTAATTTGTTATGAAAATAGTTAAACAAAGGTATTTGATAATAAATAAGTGAATTTAATCAATGTTTGAATTTAATTATTAATACATATCTTGTATATATATACTCGTGATAAAGTGTTGATTAACTTCTTTTACAATGCGTATGTGCATGAAATTTTGATAAATCAAGTACGAATTTTTCATTTCAATTAATTACAAGTTTTTGTCGACTATTCATATTTTACAAATAAAATAGGCAGAGAGCGAGAGAGATATTACCTTGACACTGATTCTATCACCAGGAGTTGAGGGTGTCATACTTCTTCGGGGACTATTATTCTGATCATCGATAGACCGTCTATCACTGGTATTGTCATCACTCATTTGACTAGAATTCATAGAAACGCCCATTCTCGCATCAGCTATCAGTTTTCTCGCTCTTTCGCGTAACTGCTGTTGCCGATCTTCGTTATTCTGCAAACAATCGGATACAACAATAGGATACAACTACGTACACGCACCCAACTAACGTATTTATGCTATCATTATTATTTATAAAATTTTATTTCATTACAACTGTAATTGTCAATTGTCAATTGTCAAGTTCAGTTATAAAAATTACATCTAATACTATAGCAACAATAATAAAGTAAATATGTACTTATTGTAATTATTTTAGAAGTGAACATTGGTTATTTTTTTACATTTTTTGCTCAAATTAGTATTCAAAAGTATTTTAAACTTACGTTAAGCTCTCTGAGAATGTTGTGACATTATTATTTTACAAGCTTAATAAAATCCACTTTAAAATGACAAATAAGAATAAAAATATTTTTAAAAGAAAATTATCATTTACAAATGAATTTAATCCACATATGTTTATCATATAATAAATGTGATGAATTTAACGAATCAGAATTTCGGCTGAAAAGCATGCAAAATGTCTCGAAAAATCATGCTACTTATACAGTGTGAGCCAAAACCAAAAAAAAAAAAAAAAAAAAAAAAAAAAAAAAAAAAAAAAAAAAAAAAAAAAAAAAAAAAAAACAACAACAACAACAAAACAAAAACAAAAACAAAAACAAAAACAAAAAACAAAAAAAAAAACAAAATAAAAAAACAAAAAAATAAAAAAAAAAGAAGAAAGGAAAAATATGAAGGAGTGAATTAGCCGAAAACAAACCTCAACGGGACTTGCGCCAGTGGAGCCAAGACCAGTGCTTTTTGTCTGATTTCTAGCTTGCTCTAAAAGTTGCCTGGCTCTTTCTCTAAGCTCCTCGTGACGAGTTACTAATGGCTGTTACGTAAAAGCGCAATTATTAAAGTGATACTGTACACTACGAGTCTATTGTGAAAATGCATAACGAAAGGTCAAAGGGAGAACAAAGGACGTATTTAGTAAGTCAATTACGTGTTGCGTTCGGTGTTGTTCATCATGCGAGGGCGACACGCCTCGACACTCGGAGCTTCCGCGACTTCCTCGGTCCGTCGAATGTTGGGAATCCTAAAAGAAAATAACTCCTTTTCATATACTAAGGGAATTTCATTCGACTCGTTTATTTAACATAATTCGCAATTGCCACGTTCGTGCCACGACAATTCACTCTGCTTTTATTCGAAATCACTCCAACTTTTTATTATTAAGCTATTGCGATTCATTGATTGAAACTTAAAATATATGGATTGTTAAACATAAATGAAGAGGCACGAGAAATTTTAAAAAGTATATACGTACATAATGAATATTAAAATTAATATAAAATATATATAAAAATTTATAAAAATTTAAATAAATTAATAATCAAGCGATATTCACACGCGCACGCACATTACGAATCTTATCAAATAAAGAATAAAAATAGAATCAAAATTGATGGTTTTCGATTGTTTTAACGACTTCTACTTATTGTAAGTATTATTATAATTATGCGTTATGTTGAATAATTTGATAATCAAAAAATGGCTTCTATGTAAGTCAATTAAAATAAAAATAAAAACAACAACAACAACAACAACAACAACAACAACAACAACAATTTAACAATATTAATCATTGTTAATATTTACCATACATTTGTCTACAATGGCAAATGCAATATTTTACACTCAAGACTGTGCAAGTTTTTTTGGCGAATTTTCCAAACATATAATACAAATGCATAATATTTCGTTTAGATAAATTGTCGCATTCAATATCTTTAGTATGAAATATTTTTTTATACAAAATAAATATTTCGCCTTTATATCGGCCTCTATACGAATTTCTATGAATTATTTCATTTTAATCCTCTTAATGTCAGCAAATAATATCTACGATTGTTGGGTAGATTTTGCAATAATTAATGTTTAAAAAATATTACATTAACAAGGCAATCGTCATGCTACGAGCTTTATCACAAATTATAATTGTTATGTACATTTCTTGCAATTTTAATGTTCATCAGGTTTTATGAAATTTTTAACTTCCAAATGCTTGATGATATTATTGAAATTTATGCCACGAATAAAAAACTCGTTATATATTAAAGTTATTGAGTAAAATATGAAGTAATCGGTAGATGCTTGTAAAGAAATTATTGGGATTAATATTTATATTTGTTGAATTGAATGTATTGAAGAATTATACAAAGTGTTTCGATTGAATATATTAAAGTAGATATATCAGGCAAGGATAGCTAACTATTGCAATCTAATTACTGCTTATGGCACGATTAAAAATTTGCATAAAAATGCTACAATATGCTTAAATAAGAAAAAACGAACTACAGTGCAAGTGTGAGTAAAAATCTCGAACGGTACATAACATGCAAGATTGCATTTTTGCATGCATACTGACGTCTCGTACGGGGGTTTGCGCTTTGGTGATGGAAATGGACCGCGATAACTTGTCCTCGACGACTTGAATATTTTCTTCCTCATCGTCAGAACCGAATGGATCTGTTAACTGTCGCCGTGTCATTAGAATAGGTCGTTGCTGGTGTTGCTGTTGCTGCTGTTGCTGCTGCTGTTGCTGTTGCTGTTGTTGTTGCTGCTGCTGCTGCTGCTGTTGCTGTTGCTGCTGCTGCTGTTGCTGCTGCTGCTGCTGTTGTTGCTGCTGCTGCTGCTGCTGCTGCTGCTGCTGCTGCTGAATTTGTACCGTAGCTTGCGGTGGGGACTTACTCTACGTATAATTATTTCTCATTTTGATGCTTTGCCGATGAAAATATTCACTCGCTCACAATATTTTTGTAGCATCATTCCGTACAATTATTACGTCTTTCATGTAGAGTTTAAAAAATTTTCAGAAAGCGAGTCATTTTCACTTCTACTTCTAAATATGAATATTATTTTCAATCTTTTCAATCCATCATTCTACTACCTAATCTATCATTTTTATTTTATAATTACTTTATCTAATGGAAACAAAAATTTCATAATATTTAGATCCTTCTATTGCTCGATCTTTGTAAATTAATATATGGTGATTAAAAAGTTTTAATAAATATTTTCAGCATACATTTTGAAATATATTTTTAAAAATTTGCATAAATCTCATACTTATTAAAAAAAAATTAATGTAATAAAGAAACTGCGTTTGAATTAGCTTTATTCAATTTCTCTTTCAAATAAATCTAATTATAAAGCCTATTCAGATTAAGAAAAGAATTTTTTTTATTATAGCTCTTTTATTATAATTCCTATTCACACAGGCACATTCACATTTATTTCTATTAAGTCATATAAAAAAAAATAACAACAACAATAATAATAATAATAATAATAATAATAATAATAATAATAATAATAATAATAATAATTCCCCATCCATATCATAACGTAAGTTGAATAAAATAAATGTTTAAATAAATAAGAGCTCACCTTCTCTCTCATTATATGCTCCTTGGCAAATTTTTCTTTGGCAGGAGATAATACTTTCCCGAGGATACTTTTAGAACTAGCAAGAATAATATCTTTGACATCTTTTACGCTGGAAGGTGATCTTTCCTTGTTATACTGATCGTCCTGTTGATCCATGCTCAAGCTAAGATGCAACTTATTTTTCAATGACTCTACATTTACATCATCTTTCTTGCAATCAAATGGATTTGAGCTATAAATACAAACTCATTTAATTAAGGCAACGAATTTAAAGTGAATATAGATTTTTTGAGTTGTTTAACATGAGAAATAATTTATCATCGATTAAAGAAAGTGAACGATTTAATGAATCGTTACATCTACGTACACGCATCTACGTCACGTTAATGTTCCATTTACTTAATTTATTATTTTTTTTTTATTTTTTTTTTTTGTTTATAAATAAATACACACAGATATCGATTTGAATGTTAATAATTATTATAAACAAGCAATAGTCTTTATCATAAACGTATAATGTACAAGGATAAAATAACGCAATTACCGTCTGTTATTGTCGAGCTTATTATTTCGTTGTTCCGAAAATTCCTTCTTTCTTAAATTAATAATCTCCTGCCCGAATAACTGTACACTCACGTCCGAATGATTATCCGTATTAAATCTCCCAATCATATAAGATGATTCATCCGTGGTTTTGCCAATTTGATGTACCTGAGTATTATAAGAGACAGTGTGCGTATACTACAATGCGCTGGAAGAATTTGAATAACGGTAATCGGATGTAGACTTACCTCTAATTCGTGACCTGTGAAATGTGCTCGTAATTGATACAAATATGTCATCACGGCCAGCTTGTCGGGTACAGTTAGGATGTCCATATCAGCGGGTTCAATAACTCTAGGTATACCAAGGGCTTCACCAGCATCGAACGCTTTCTTGCAGTTACCTTTAACGTCGTGAGACAGAAGCGAATCCATGTCACTACATTAAATATGAGCAATGTTGTTTAATATAACGAAATTACTGCAATTATTATAAAGTATAACATCAAATTACTAATATCAACGTAAAGAGTGTGTTTATTATCTTAGCAGAAGAGAGAGAGAGAGAGAGAGGGAGGGGGGGGGAGAGAAGTGAAAATGTTCGTTCCAATTTTACATCGCTTAAACGCATCATCCACTTTATTTTCTAATCCATTGTTCGAAACAATAAATTTTATTGTTTTATAAAAATTAATTATTGCGCAAAAAAAAAAATAATAATAATAATAATAATAGATTATATTACATCAATAGATTATGATAATTAAGGAAAACTATTTGATCAATGGATATTTTTTTTCAATTAAATAATTTCAATTAATTTGACAGATTCAATTTGACATGTTTTAATATGTTCCATTTAATTATCTAATAGTTTATTGGCAAACACTAATCCTCAAAGTTTCTAATAATTCAATAATAATACATAAATTATTAAGAAAACAAATGTATCCTGTATTTATAAGAAATTACTTATCCAACAAATATCTCACAATTTACTCACATGAGATCGGGCCGAAAGTGATGAACAACGGCACAAAAGGCCATCCCGTTGCGCCAGGACGTCGTTAGGTTTGTTACTTTAACACCAGGATAATCTTTGGTAACTTCCTTACACCATTCGAGTAAATCTTGGCCAGGAGTAATATCTCTCATTCGATGGGTAGGCATATTAGACTTCTTGAGATCCAATGGTCGCAATGATAATCTTTGCACATTGTGTTCCGAGTTTTTACTGTGGATGAAGGCAAATTTTAATACATATATTTGTTGGCGAAATTTTAGCCTGACTGATTGTACTCATTAATACATTTGTCATGTTATATAAATATAATTTGTTAATACATCCGTTAATGAACTCCATAAATACAATTCCATTATCCATTTTTAAATTAAGTTTTTAATATCTTAAGCGACTGGGGCTTGATTCGGATGATAAATTTTTTTTATAAAAACATTGTCATTTTTATAAAATTTCGTCATTAAATGGAATTCGAGTACATAATGAAATTATAAATACAAGTTAACGAGCAAAGATAAATACTTACTCATTTAGCATCGATTCACTTTTAACGTAGGGCCTCTCATTAATAATGCCAGCGATATCTTGGTTGAAGCTACTATCCCTTGAAATGTGCTTTTGTTCTTCATTGGTTGGCGTATTTTCGTCCTTCGATAAGCTTGCCACTTCACGAATAAAAAATCGATTGATTACATACGAGTCCAACATTTGAATATAAAATTCTCACATACATTTTCCAAAAATACATGTAAATTACATATAAGCATAACGAACAATAGCTAATATCGATCTTTTATTTGATCTTTTACTATTTATTGGCCAGTTTATAAGAATTTCCAGCAGTAAATAAATGAATGTAATTATATATTTTATCCGTAAAGAAACATTTCTTTCGCATAAGTTTGATAAATAATTGAATACCAACCACTTATTGGAGTGCTGGGATACTCGCTTCCCGTAAGGCTACTTGTCATTAAATCTAGCTGGGCTGAAATATCCAATATTTCATCGATATTCCTTATGGACGCATCCTCAACATCCTCGGGAATATCTTCGTTATCAAAATCATCGAGAGGCGCAATATCGCTGTTGTTATTGACTGACATCAAACTCGCCATACTCTGCATGTCTTCGTCCCTAATAACATTTCAATGATTTCATAAGTACCCGATATTCCATTCGGTTGAAAAGATATTTATAATCGCCATGAATAACGTTGATTAATATAAGTCAATAAATCAATGAATAACAATAAGTAAATTTGAAATATTATTAAAGGTAAAATTTTGCTCCGTACAATATTTTTATATGGATTCATTTGGGTTATCCAATTTTTAATTTTGTCTACAATAATTCAATGAAAATACACACCAATGTTAGAAAATCAAACTCAACGATTCACAATTTCATGTTTAATTTAAATATATTACAAATGTAATTGTAATTATTACATGTATATAACTAAAATACCGAATATAATACAAACATACTGAAATGATGTGAATTTTCAATTTTTAATATATAAGTTGCCAATAAATATAATACATTTAAGTACGATTTCATTTAAGAAAATATTTCGTCTCTGAGATGAAAAAAAGATCTTTAATACCAATAATACAAAAGTTATCCAAACCGTGTATACAGTTAAAACAAAAACAGAAAAAAAAAACAGAAAAAAAAAACAGAAAAAAAAAACAAAAAAAAAACAAAAAAAAAAACAAAAAAAAAATTATATGACGTTTGCCGGATAAAGAAAAAAAATACTGGTGTTTATAATAATAACAATGGCTGAAAAAGAAAATTTTGTGCATTTATATTTAATAAGAACATTGATAAGAACAGTCATTCACTTACGTTGCCTTGCCCTCCCTAAGGAAGACACATGACATCGTACATTCCAATTTAGCGCTGACAATTTTCTTCGAAGTGGGTTTTAAGTCTAAATTAAGCTGATGTTGACTAGATTCAAGAGTTGCATATTTCTTCATGTTTACATTTAGGGCGGCCACATGGCGACGTTTACCCGTCGATGAAACCTGTTTGTCGAGATACGGAGAGTGAGAGGTGCAAAAGGACAGATAATAATATAATATAAGGGAAAAATGTTTATTTCTATTGTTGTTACAAGTGTGTTACAAGAAATTAACTTAATAAGATTTTATTGCCTAATAGATTTGCATAATCAATTTCGAGATTTTATTTTATTTAGAGTTTAAAATTCATATCGTAGGATGATAAAATGTTTATTTATACACATCTTTTAATTTAAACGGTTAATTTATATTTAAAGCATAAAATAAATATCAACAGCTATAATAATTAAAATTATTATGAAATTTTTTACATTCCCCCCCTGCAGAAAGTTAACGCACAGTATTTGCGTAAGTAAAAATTAACTTTTATCTTACATCTGCGCTTCCTCATTTTAGTAATAAAAATATATAGAACACAATTTATACAACACGATAAATCTCAATAATAACATAATGTCAATGTCAGTCATTGATTTCCAATGTTGCATTTCTAATTTAAATGGTTCTTAAACTTGTTAAACTTAAGCGTTGTTATTATTATTATTATTATTATTATTATTATTATTATTGCTGTTGTAGTAGTAGTAGTAGTAGTTGTTGTTGTTGTTGTTGTTGTTACAACGTGTAATTTATAACCTAAGCAATAAATTATGTTTTAGCATAATTTACATATAAATAAAATTATATATAAAATTTACGTTTCTCATTAATTATCTCAATATTTATTTTACTGTAATGAGTTCTTGTTGCAAATTAAATAAGGAAAAAAGATCATCCTTAGAAGAAATACATATAGAGTCGCATTAGTCTTAAAATTCACGGGTACCATAGCTTTAAGTCGATATGTCTTCATTATACAATTAGATCATAATATTAATACTTTTATAAATACTAGTGACGTTACTCTCTCAGAAACACTCGTCGGCAACACGATTAATCAATTAAAATTAAATAAATAAATCTGACGGGAATAGAGAAGAACAATGATTAAATAAGCGGATTAACTTACATCTTCGATGACGAAGGTCCAGTCTTTGTCCTCGAGCTCATGGGTCCGAGGATCCTTGAAAAGGGTTACGGATACCGTGTGATTGTCCGGCACCGGCCAGTGAATCGTCCCTTTAAGAGGATCGCTAAGGCTTGGCTCCCATTCCAAGGGTTCGGAACTCACCCGTCGGCTCCGTCTCGTCCATACAACGCTCAACTTGTTCGGTTTCCTGTGCATATCACGTGACACGATTAAGCTAACGATTATACGGCATTGCGCGAAATTTTATATTATTATTTCTACTCGAACTTGCTTTTGTTGCGGTTTATAAGCGTACATTTAGCCAATGATAGTCAAGTAAAATCGCTATCGTCGTAAATTTTCTTTTAATGTAACGTTAAAGGTGATGCCTGCACTTTGTAAGATTAAAAAGCGCGCAGCTTTTATCGCTTGAGCCTCATATTTTTATAAGCTTTTCTTTGCAATACGATATTTCGTTTATTAACGAATATCTCTATTATTCCTTTTATGATTATACTTTTAAAAATAAACTCATATAATTATTTACAACATGATTATATTGATAGTAACTTCAAAATTACGGATTATGTGCCAGTAACAATAAATAATCAAAATTAATTATAAAAGCCTGTAAGCTTTATAAAGTTGTACATGTTAATTCTAATTATTAATTATAAATTTTCTATAATTTGCACAATTTATTGACGTACTTGAAAATACAACGAGTAATGTTTACGCGTATTGTTTATGTAAATATAATATTCGTATTAATGTGAGATTTTCTCATTGATATAAAAATTGAAATAAAAATAAAAATTCTTGTTAATTGGCTTTTATATTAAAAATCAGTGCAATAATAATTTCTCTGTAGGACAAATATAATTTAAATCAGTTTATTCGAAATTCAAAAAATTAAATCGAATACTAATTAACAGAGTTTCCCTTTATTCCCGAACTCGAGTCAAAATATTATAAGAACGAATGTAAATTAAATTACATTTTTGGCACAGATAAAAGATTTCGCATTGATTTTTAATATTAACATCGTCATAATTAAATAGCAATGATCAATATGTATACAAAAAATAATTCTATAAAAGTATCAATTATTTCTAAAAATACGAATGTGCTTGACACGAAAGGTTAAAACGAAGCGCGCTTTATTATTATTATTATTATTATTATTATTATTATTATTATTATTATTATTATTTGTATTATTATTCGAAATTCCTTTCAAGAAATATTCATGTTCTACAAACAAGAGTTTCTCGAGAATGTCGGATGATTTCGGCTTGGCCTAATAAGCCTTAATAAGCCGCAAAATAAAATCCGACACAATGATTCAGCAAATTGACAAGCTCGATGAACAAGTGTGCGCAGTGAAAGGGGAATGAAGAAATGCATCCCTTAAGAGGGACGTGCGCTCAGCAAACTTTGGATTCCCGTATCAGCCGCCGACGAATGGCACAGGTGACAGGGGCAGGGGGTGGGAGGGGGGGGGGAGTCGAGTCGCACGACTCGAATACGAGAAGACGGGGAATATTGAAGGAGACTCGCTTATCTTGGTTTCTTAAAAAAAAAAAGAAAAAAACATTTTTTTACACGTACTTAGTTTTGCTGCGAAAATCCATACCCCACGAGCCTTCGATTGCTAATCGAACGTACCTATTTCAAAAAAAGTGGATCATTGTATGATCCGTAACACAACGTGTGTGTGCCAAATACTTTCTATTATCAGTCGACATGTACACGAAAGGGAGCTGAGAGGTTCAAACGTCGCGCGCGATATAATATTCTTGTTATGGTTGGGCGTGTGCATGAGTTTTGGTGGTGCTGCGTTTGGTACAGAGAGAGAGAGAGAGAGAGAGAGAGAGAGAGAGAGAGAGAGAGAGAGAGAGAGAGAGAGAGAGAGAGAGAGAGATATGGTTTGGAGTATATAAAGGTTGAGTGAGTCTTGAGGACGGCAGAGATGCTTCAAACGCATTCAATTACGTTTGAAATTTTCATGCAAATAATATTTCGAATGCATCCATTCTGTATAAATTTTATAATACTTCTCGTATTGTAGGTCAAACGTATAAACTTACTCATTCATGTGATTCTATGTTAACCAATAGTTGTTTATCGATTAAATTATATTGATTTTTATTACGCTGCATAAATACCGCAAAAGAATGTTCATGATACTTTTCTAAACTATCAACTTGCTCTGACCCTATTAAAAATAACTGCACGATCTATTAATTTACTTAAAAGTATGCAGATAATTTTATCGTAAAGCATAACAAACAAACATAAACAAACATAATGTAAAGGAAAATTTTTTTTAAACTACCACATAATAATTATATGCTCCCGATAACGTTAATTCTATATCGCGTCTATTTTATATAAAATCAACATATTCAGATATTTACATAGGCAACTAGCAGGTACAATAAATATAATTAAAGAAAATCAATAATAAATTTAGCATTATATGTTACGGTGATAAATTTTTCGAAATTTATCTTTTATCGGAATGCCATCCGGTTTTAACATAACAAAAACGAAACAAAACAAACGAAACAAAAACAGTATTCTTGCACTTTTTAAGTAAAATTGTAAGGTACGTTTGAAAATAAAAATGCTCGGCCAAAATTATTATAATAAATTTCATTAATAATAATGTCAATAGACTCGAATGCATTAGGAAGGTGAGCATTACCGAGAATGTCATTGCCATACCGTATGACACATCATCCAGACATTAATTAATCAATGACTGTAATTGAATAATACTTTGTTCCATAAAAGAATAATGTCCCTCAAAGATGTTTGTACAATGAAGAACTTTAACGTACCTCGTGACATTTAGCTCATGCCTCTAGCAATCGTAGATTAAATTAAATTAAATTAGAATTAGAATTACGTTAAATTACGTTAAATTAAAGGCAGCTTATCGCCGTGTATCACTGAAATGTAGATATTTATTTCACTAAAATAATTTATTGTCGAAGGAGTTTTAATGAGAAAACTTACTTAGTAATCTAAATGAAATTATTTATCATATTGAAAATGATTCATTAAAGATTTTTATATCGCACGATCTCGCGATTGTTAATGTAATTGGAGACAAAATTTAATTAAAAGTTTACTATTAAAATCTTAATATTTTTGTCCATCAATCGGCCCGCCACTTGCAAGCGTATTTGCTTCTATTGCAATAAAATATTTATTACTTCAATTTTACGAGACTATTTCGAGATGATATAATAGGAAAAGCAATGCGAATTAGTTTGATCATTTCACGTAGAATATTTTAGAAACATAAGAACCCGAGCTAATACAAATTGAGATACGTATAATCATCACGAATAGCATTATCATTGTTACTAGCATTAAATTAAATAATGACCGAATGGCCGTGAATATTAGATGAATTCAAAGGAAAACACAGTGATGCAAGTAATACAAATACTATTATCCTTTTACAATTCACGTAGTGCGGGAAATATCGTAAGGAAAATGCGTCACGTTAATTATTGTATTTCGACGCGAAGCAAAACAGAAATATGCAAAACGATTCACAGCCTTCATTTTAACAAAAATAGCTTCGCGGAAAGCCGTGACAAAAAATTCACTCGTTGTAGGTGTATTTGACTAATCATTTCTCTGAACAAAAGCGAAATCAGAACGCGGAAACATGAAGAAACAGCAATACCTTTCCCTCCTTCGACCGTAATACTTATAAAAGTATAACTCGCGAGCACATTTTCTCGCTTTCATTTTTAGATCGCTTATAAGACGAAGAATATAGAATAAAGTTTCAACTTTATTTCTACCAAGTTTCACCGACCTCTCAAAACACAATATCGATATACGTATTTAAAAAGTTTTCGTTTAACGTATAATGGATAATAAATACATTTGCATTTTTATTATTTATAAGAAAATAGAAAGGGACAAATGCAAGGTAATGAAAAATTCTAAATAAATAAGTTCCATTTTCACCTCCATGTGCGCATCTATACGTTTATACAAAATATTAGTGTCGTTAAATGTACATAAATTATATACAACATTATTTATACAACTAAAATGTATAATAAAAGATAAACATTATTTTCTCAATTAGGCGTTTGAAACAAATTTTTATTATTATAATTTAATTTTAATCTGTATTTTAGACAAAATTTCATCAGGCGTTTAGGACACATTACATAAGAAAATTAAGTCACTCCTGGCGAATAACGCGTCAATTATTTATTACATTACAAATTATGATATACCTTTCTCATTATAATTATATACGATTGGAGGTTATAAAATCGAAATTAAGTTGAAACGAAAGAAAAAGAAAAAGAAAAAAAAAAAAAAAAACCCAAAAAGACAAAACAAGATTAAAAAAAAAAAGAAAAAGGTAAAAACAGTAAAAACACATCCGTTATACGTCTTCTGTTCGTAAAAAATGTCTTTGTACAACAATAACACATTACTAATGATAATTGATATTGCATATCAATTCGCAATAATTGAAGTGTTGTAAAATTACAACGGACCGTCAGAAATATATGGCTTATTTTTTTTCTCTTAAATTTTTTTTACTTTCTACTCTTCGCAAAAAGACTTTTTTTTTTTAATAAAGAAAGGATAATTTGAAGTTATTGTTAAAAATTATACAATTATCGAAATAACAGAATTTTTCAATAGCCAACCCACGACAAGTTCTCTCTTATTCGTTGACATTTGGACAAATTTTGTCCATTCGTAATTTTAATATTAGTGTGCTCGCGCGTGGACACGCACACCTCAAACTTCCGTTGAATATACAAAAGGCGATACATGAATAAAAAAAGGAAACCCACTATTGCTCGTGCATTCGTGTCTCGTTTGCGTTAGTTCGTTCCCTTTTCCTCGAGTAGTTAGTTCACTTACCCCATGCACGAATGATAATAATTTCTTGTATTCGTAAGAATAAATCGAGTAATTTACTTGCTTCGTGCAATATTTAATTAATATTCAGTTCATTTTTTCATGGGTTCACACAGTACCTGTCAATAATTAAATAAGATATACGTTTTTCCTTTTCCTTTCATTTTAACGCGTAAATTTCCAATTAAGGAATGTATTTTAATCAAATATTTTCATTACACTGAGTTAATTGAAGAATGAAAATATTATTTGTTGAATAATAATGAAATGGCATGTTAAAATGACAATGAAGAATAGAGAACTAAAAGAAAAATTTCAAAAGGCCGTAGTCTAAAATACAAGAGCTTATTATTTTAAAATTTTAAAAACTTTCAATTATGTTTGACAGTAGATTAAGGCGAAATCGAGAATGATGTGCATTTTGCAAACGTTAAAAACGTAAATATAATTAATTATAGTATTAAAATGAATAATTCCTTCGATTAAACGTGTAATAATCGCACGTTGAATTGTGCTTGATAAATTAATTTGATATCTCGATTCGGTAAAGGGAACAAAGATAATCACGAATTTATAAGGATTTGTTTTGTTTTTTTTTTTTTTTTTTTTTTTTTTTTTTTTTTGGCAAAACGTTATAAAATTTTACACACGCTTGTACTAATAATGAACATTGTGATATAAAGTGAACAAATTTCATTAGTTTTTTTTTTTTTTTTTTTTTTTAAGAAATTGTAGAATAATTTTCGTGCAACGTCAAAATAAAGAATTCAACTAGTATTATTAAAGTCAGGGGGAACGAAAAAGAAGAAACGAAAAATCGATCGATCGATCGATTTCTCACACGATTTACAAATCAGATTTCAAGGCAATCCTTTCGCCAATTACACATGGTCACGCCACATATCTTTGTTATCGCTTATGTGCACATGTACAGCGACCGAGGCACGACTATTACATTGTTAATCGTCCCGCCCAATTATCAATTAAAATATCATTATCGCGCAAGAGTAATTGATAAAATGAAAGTTTTGTTAATTCAACGTGATTGGCAGCTCGCGCCTAAGAAGTAACGAAAAATCTCTAGGCGGATTTCATGAAATAATCGAGCACTTAAACGATCATCCCAAGCATAACATTTTTTATTATATCCAGCTGATTTTTTCTTCCTAGCATTGCATTGAATTACAACGACTCTAGTGCGCAACTACTTTCGTACAACTGTAGGCTCATAATAATAAATAATCATTCGTACGCGATAACTTGCTAACGCTATCATAACGGTTAATTTGCACTTACTAGCGACGATAGGAAAGATCAAAGCTAAATGTTCACGTATTACGTAGATGAGCAATGATTTGGGAGGAGAATGTGAGAATGAAACAGAGTCGCTGGGCTAATGACGTATTGGGTCGGCTAACTCACCACCTGGTAGTCGTCACAAGGGTGATCTCGTGGTACGATACGGTGAATTGGAACTTGGCAGCCCTTTTGTTGACTCGCTGAAGTCTCTTCCACACAGAGCTCATTTTGGAGCTGTTTAAGCCGAGGTTCGCTATTATTGTCGTTGTCGTCGTCGTCGTCGTCGTCGTCGTCGTCGTCGTCGTCGTCGTCGTCGTCGTTGATGGCGTTCCACTATAAATAGCTCAGGGTGCGTGGGTTTGGCGACCCTCTGGGATACCGCTTCTTCGAGCAGCCGTTTAACGCGGGCCGAATCGATAGGCGAATCGAAAGTTCTCTTGTCTTAACGGCTCCTTTAGCCACCCATCACACCTCCTTCCTCGCGCAATGTCCTCGCCAGCATTGTGCCGTGGTGAGTTCCGGGAACTCGGATGTCGGCCACTCGAGCAGGAAGAAAGCCACTGGGAATCTTGTTATCGGCGTACGCTCGACTTGAACGTATTTTCCATAGTTGCTGAAACATCAATGCTCGTCAATTCTCTCTCTCTCTCTCTCTCTCTCTCTCTCTCTCTCTCTCACTCATACTCCCTTGTCTCGAGAATATCTCGACGGCGCAAGTTTATGCGAATGAGAGTGAGTGACAGGAGTTTCGATAGATACCCCCGAGCGCAACACAATACGCGTACTTGAATAATGGAATGCAAATTTATAGCGCGAATTTGGCTTTTACGTGAATAGAAGCGAGTCGACCGATAATAGCGACGCGCGCATCGCTACGGTATTTAAATAAACTTATTATAAAGTTAAATAATAAGTCATTGTCGTTAATGATTTAGCATTATCGACATGTGGTGCTTATATTATTTATTCACGATTCTTAATAAATGTCTATATTAAGACCACAATTATGCAAAATAATTATTACAAGGCTCCTTTCGAGTCACGCTAATTTAGGGCATCGCTATAGCCAATATCGCATTTTACGAATTTTTCAATATTACAGCACAGCGCGAAAGAAAATTCTTCCTTCTTATTTCTCATCTGAAAAGGTCACACGTAATATTAATAATAATAATAACAATAACAATAACAACAATAACAACAATAGTAACGATAGTAATGGTAACGATAATAATAGTAACGATAATAACAATCATAATGGTTATATTAGTAATAGAATGAAAACATTTATCGTAGAATTTACAAGGAGACAAAATTCACAGAATCAATTAATATACGTGAGTCATTCGAGTAATTTATATTATTTCTAATTGAGCCTATTATTAACATTTGATTATTTATTTGTTTTTATTATAGTAAGGATGGTTGAAAATTGGTGTTACACTTGAACAAATTGCAGGTTGTATGAGGAGAAATTTTTTTTGTAATGCATAAAAACTGATGCAGACTAGAATTTTTCCAACCTCATTATTATAATTCCCGGGCATTTGACGTTAAAGAAACACTGCTGCTTATTTATCTTTTTCCCATTATGTTTTATGCTCAAATAAATAAGAGTGCAATATAGCATTGCGGTAATCGAGATATAAAGAAATAATTTTCAATTATTCAATGTGAGTGGCAGTGATGTCGAATGAGACGATAATAAATTAAAGAAAAAATAAGTAAGCTGAAAATAAAAAAGTCCAAGTCGTGTGGTTATGTGCGCGCGTGCCAGCGGGCGCGTTTGTGTTTGTTTATTTTCATGGGCGATAAATTTTAATCAAAAGGAAGCACCGGAGGTAAACGTAAATGGAAGCTGCTCGTAGCGTATCGCTAAAATTGCAGGAAATTTTGTATACCGAGATAAATAGCCTACGATCTCTGACGTTTCACTGGCGACTTCCTCTATAGCTGTGATTCACTCTTTAAATGCCGAGATAAGCGTCGGGAAAGAACAAGGAACTGGATGACGGGGAGTGTGGGGCAGGTG